AACAAACTAACAATCGTGCAGAAATCTATGCTGCGATTAGAGCTCTTGAAATTTGTGATAAAAAAGAAAATTTAATCTTAAATACAGACAGCAATTATATTATCATTTCTAGAGATGTTAAAAAACCAAAAACTAATTTTGATTTAGTTAATAGATTCAATGATTTGATTAAGGAACGTGAAGGGAAAACTTATTTAAAACATGTGAAGGGATATAGTGGCATTTACAGGAATGAACAAGCTAACAAACTTGCATATTTAGGTTTAAAAAAACCAAATGTTAAATTGAATTTACCAGAACATAAAAATACTATCAAAGGTTATTTCAAATAATTTTTGTATTTTTATTTTTATTTTTAATAATAATATCTTTAATATTTCTCGAATTATGTTTTACAAAAAATTAAATGCGATTTGTATTAGCGATTGGGAGGTAAGAGACCCAATCAACAATTCATATCAAATAATATTAACAACCCATGATAAGCATATGCGAGGCTAGCAGCACGCTAAAAAAAAAGCTCTGGTAAGGTAAGCAATCTAATCAGTTTTAAACTGATTAGATTTTTACTTGTATAATTTGTTTTTTAAATGTCTCAATCTTTAAGTGAGTTTGATTCTGAAATTTAAAATATTATAATTAAAGAAAAAAAGAAAAAACGTATAGATCATACATGGTTCAGAGAGAATGAAAACACAAATTTTTGAAGACCAATCATGTTTCCTAATAACGAAGGACACATAACTGAATATATTCAAATCAAGTTGAGCGATAAGCAAAATGCTCTTTTTGATAAAGAATATCAAGAATTTCTTAAGCGACATAAATTTGTTCTCGATAAGGCCAATAATATCATCAAAGAAACTAATGGAGAATATTTACTTGAATTACTTTATGAAATTAAATTAGCAAATATCAAATTTAAAAAGAGTTATTCATTTGATTTACGTAAATGTAATATCGAAATTTGTAGTTCTAATATTTGTTAAAATATTTTATTAATAAAATAAATCACTAAAATTATCATTTTGGTAAATTATTGTTGAATCGTTATATAATATAGAAAAACTTTCAACGTTTTTATCTAAACTAATAATTTTTTCAGCATTCATATAATTTCTAATATTTGTTAAATTGTTTATTTTAATTATAAATAAATAATTTTTAGATTCAACTTGCACTAGTGTAATTTGTCGATTTGAAGTTCCTTTTGTAACGTGAATTTTTAATTTGTTTCTGATTAACGTAAAATGAAAAATATAATTTTCAGCAGAATGGTAAATATAAAAATTTTTTTCCATTTTTAAATTTAATTTAATTATAAAAGACTTGTTTTTATATTTGGATGTGAGAA